GGGGTTGTTGCTTCTTTGCATCGTGCTTTAAAAGGTCGCGTAAAAACAAAAGACATCCGGAAATGGTTGCAAACCAAGGATTCCTTTACTTTGCACAAGCCTTTGAGGCACAAGTGTCCCAGGAACAGAGTCATCATAGGAGGCTTGAACGAGCAATTTCAATCTGATTTAGTGGATATGCAATCCCTGGCCTCTTTTAATGATGGGTGCAAATATTTGCTGACCTGTATAAGATATCCTTTCCAAATACGCTTGAGCTTTTCCTATCAAAAATCTGCGTCCATCAAATCCGCTTTTGAAAAGATATTTTCGGAACGTACACTCGAATCATTACAAGCAGATACAGGGAAAGAGTTTACCAATAAACATGTTCAAATTTTTTTTGAAAAAGAGAAACGTTCACTTTTTCACGACTAATACAACCAAAGCTTGCGTCGTAGAACGATTTAATCGAACTCTAAAAACAAAAATGTGGAAACACTTTAACGAAATGAATACACGAACGTACGCTGATGTTATAGATAAATGGATATCCAGTTATAACCTTACATGGTACTTAGTACTATTAAGACAAAACCTGTATCAGTTAATTTACAAAATCAGAAAAAAATCTGGAAAACGTTGTACCGTCAGCAACCAGGTACAGAACCATATTCCTTCAGATTTAAAGATTGGAGATTCAGTACGCATCAGCCGAGAAAAAATGCTCTTTGAGAAACGATGCGAACAAAACTGGACAAGAGAAATGTTTACATCTGTAAAATTAATTCTTCGGATTCCTGTTGTCTATAAACTAAAAGATCTTGCAGGAGAAGTTATACAAGGAACTTTTTACAAACAAGAACTTCAAAAGGTTTTGGACTCTGGTTTATTATTCCGTTGAAAAATTTAAAAAAGAGGAAACGTCGCGGTAAAGTCGAATATTTTGTGAAATTTCAGGGGTACCCGGAAAGCTTCAATACTTTGGTGGAGGATGTTAGAAGGGTATAAAAGGCCCGTACATTCTGCTTATCTGCCATTTGAACGAAACATGTCTTTGTTTATCTCACTGATCAGTCACAGCTCCATGCGTTTTTTTCCAGACAACAAAGTATCACAATTTACCACCCAGCTTCCTACTCCGATTAATTTAGAATAGTCAGTGGTAGTTAAATTTTGTGTACTTTATTTACCCTCACACATGGTATGACGTCCGAAAAGACAATAATTTATTTGGATTTAATTTGGGTGATGGAAAACTGGAAAGTAGAAGAGTGCCTCCAGGATGTTATGAAACGATATCAGATTTATTAAAAGCCATGAAAATACCTTCCCATAAAAATAAGATTGAATTCAGTTATCATCCTGTCACGAAAAAAAGTTACCATTAAGACAGATGAAAACTGCAAAGTCATTCTTCACGAAAGATTATCTGAGCTTCTAGGGTTCGAGCAAGTTGTTTACAAAGGACTGGAGCAAAGTCGTTTTGTAGCCGATCCAAAAGTATCTTTTCCTGTCATGTATGTGCATTGCGATGTCGTAGAGCCTAAAATTTTGGAAGATGTACAAGCTCCGTTGTTAAAAATTGTCACCGTAATAGGAAATGACGGAGACATCATAAACGCTTATTATCCCAGGGCCTTTTACTTGCCAGTTATCCGCCAGCATTTTTAGACTATACTTATTGACATAAGACTTCATTCTGGAGATTTAGTACCATTCGGAAGAAGCAAATTATTTCTTGTATTGCATTTTCGTCTCAGACATATTCTATAAAAGAAGCATTTATTTGCAAATTGATTTCATTTAGGATTGTGTATGCAAGATTAGAAGCGATCAAACATGAGGGTGCCTTATACGTGTTGCACGAAAAAATTTGAAGATTATTATTTAGCTCAAACTCGAAATTCATTACCTTACTCTCAAGGAACCATTTTACAGAAAGGTTATGGTAATGGTGAATTTTTTGCAAAGCTGCTGCGCAGTGCTATGCCTTTTTTGATGAGTGGAGTCCAAACCGTTGGAAAGAAGCGTTGCGGACTGGAACACAAATTGCAAACGACGTACTGTCATCAAAAAATTTGTGAGGCATATGTTAGAAAAATGGAAATACAGGAATCCTTTGTCCCCCCGGGAGTCGACGTAGAGAACTCTGGAAAGCTACTGGCTAGGATCTGTACCTAGGCAGTCTCGGCCACGGGGGTATAAAATTTATGAACTTGGTGGTTCTGAAGACCCTGGGAAAGGTCACTTATTGGCCGGCTTCGGGGTCTGGCATGTCCTGAGTGGTGTGGAACCGTAGCCGGTGGACTAGTTCCCCTCGGTTTGCTGGGTAACGGCCCACTGCAACGGGCTCGCCCATGCGACTGGCAGGAGCAATTGACGACTAGTGCTGCCTGGTGTGGTATCCAGGTGGTGCGCTGCTCCCCTGGAAGGATAATAGTGGAGGTTGAATATCTACGAAATTCCCAAAGGGGGAGTAGACCCGTAATGTGATTAAGTTCAGGAGGCGGGGAAGCCTAGAACCTTGTTGCTGTTGTACCCCAGCATTGTTGGTACGAAAATCACATATTCCATTTTTCTGCAGCCAAAATTATTCAGAAAACATCTTCAATTAAGGCGGGAGAAATACATCATATAGTCTTTCATTATGGAAAGTAATTATCTGGCTGACATTCCATTTTTGCTTTGCAGATTTTTCCATTAGCAAAAGCAAGTCTAGTGCTTATATATAGCTAATTTCGCCTCCTCGCTATTCCATCATTTTAGATTATAGAAATATAGTCAATACCTATTTCTAAAATACAGGATTGTATGCGTATAAATGAAATGGCAGTCCAGGCGTGAAATGTTTAACTACCATTGAGAAGTAAATCTATGAAGGTGGTTGGTGGCATTAACATCTTTATTAGATGATGTATCTGATGAAAACTTCTATTAAGCATAAAGATATATGTGTATCATAAATATGTACGTTTATAAACATTTACAGTGTTTTATAATATACATTTCGGAACATGCGTATATCGACGCGCATATATATAACTGAAGACTGAGAGTGCACAAGTAAACATCTTTACAAACTAGAAATCAACATGTACATGATTTAGAAAACTTCCCTTTTTAATTCGGCGTAATTTAAATTTATTATCTATTTAAGATTCTTCACTGAGACCAAGAGTTCAGTACTGATATTATTGGTTTTAAAAATATCATTTTATGAGTTTACATGAGGGATTATGTTAATTTACTAATGACTTTACAACAATATCTGGCAAAAAAACTGATGGCTCTGGAAAATGAAAAACTGTCCGCCCTCCCCCAGAAAAGAAGAGAAAATACAGGAAAAATTTTATTATTTCGAAGTTTATGCAAATATTTATATATTGAAGAAGTTAGGGGCTAGTTGTAATAGTTTTTGAGAAACAGTTTTGTATTTTTAAGTGTATTTATGGTTTCTCGATTATAACTGCTTTTTATAGCATAACTATCTCTTCATCATATTCACAAAACAAACTTTCGGCAGTTATGTTGATTTTAGTACAAGAAGTACTTTACAAAAGTTGTTCGTTTAAGACTCGTTCGTTTAAGATTTACTCAGGAATTGGGGTAGATAGTCACAGATCTGGGGCAAATAGTAACAATAAAAACGACAATATTAAAAAAAAAAATATTGGGTGCTTATTATTATTTGGTATTTTTGGTAGAGTGTCAGTTAATAGTCTCAAGGGGTTTATAATAAAACGAAGGTAAAAATTTTAAACTTATACATAGAAAAGTAAATTTTCACCAAAATAACTGTTAACATAAACAAATGATAGATTGTTTCCTTTCACACATTCAATGTGCGCCCATAATTTTCAAATTAAATATTGCAGTTATTCCTCTTCATTACCGCAAGTTAAGCATAGGACTTTTCTATTCCAGATTCTGTATTCCAGTTCAAATTCCTCTTCTTTCTCCTCCATTTTATCCACTTATTTTCTTTCATAATTTTTCTTTAATATGTCTCTTTCTTTATCTTTTATTTCTCTTTGTTGCTTATTAGTTATCTTTTCGTTTTTTGATTCTGATTCGGTTATCTCACTTAGAAAGGCTGATTTTCTTTACCGTCGGGACCTTTAGACTTGTATCGATCACGTGGTGCGATAGGCCTCGGTGGCATCGGGTTATGTAGTTGCTTGCTTGTGTCGCCATCCTTTAGCACCAATGAGAAGTGCTGCTGCGCCCGAATTTTGCATGCCCTAGAAGATGGTAAGGAGTTTGGAATTTGGATACTGGGTCTGTTTCATGCGAATCGGATTCTGTACGACAACCGCAAAGGAGTTCCTGTGCGCTAGGTTCGAAAATTCCATTTCTTTCAAATTTGTTGCTCTCGGGATAACTACAGAATGTTTCACAGATGAAGCCTTAAGGAAAGACCTAACGTTTGAGGGTGAAAAATCAATATTTCTATTCTGGGAAAGAAAACTATATAGAATAAAATAATTTAGAAGTTAGCATTTAAAAGAAGAAAAGTGCAACTACAAGAGTCAAGATATCGTGGCAGGTTTAACATGTTCCAACTCATCGTATGGCTTCGGACATCTCTATGGATTTTTAAAAATATTGCGATTAAAAAAAGAATTAAAGCTGCATTTTAAAAATGAGTAAAGGGACAAAATAAATTCGAAAAACCATTTTTAAAAAGTTCGATTAAATTAACTTAAGTCAAAATTTACGAAATATTCCTTCTCATTAACTACCTAAGATGAAGAACACAACTTCTTATTACTTGTGTCAGTGGGGCATTGACTGTGCTTATGTAATAAGGTACGTCATAAGAAACATATTTAGTGAAAATTATGATTTAAAATTTTAAAAACTACAGCGTAGCATGTGTGTTACTATTGGCTTCCTTAGCTTCACTAGAGGTTTGTGATATAAGTTTGTAGGATTGTCTTAGGTGTGAATGGTGTAAACTGAAAACATAATTCTTAAATTAATGGTGGTAATTGCATAAAAGATACTTTAATAATATATCGTTTGAATTTTACAACTTATCAATTATGTTCTTCTAAACTATCTTGCGCATGAGCAGGAGGAACTGTAGGCCATGATTGTTCCGTCAAATTAAATATTGGGTTTGGAGGTATTAGCTGCCTTGGCTTCAAGTCACTTGGTTTTCGAATTCCTGAAAATGGAATAATATAAGAGAATAAAAGAAAGAACGGAAGAAAAAAAAACTCTTATTTATTCAAATATGATTATAGATGTTCTTTATGACTTTCACTCTTATTTTTTAAGATACAAGAATTCCTAAACTTACAATTAATTTATTTCTTGAGAATTAAATTCCCTTTTCAGAAATTCGCGTGTGTATTGAAAATCTAAGTAAGTGCTATCAAGAAAAATATTTCACCATGGAGAATAGGTTGAAGCAAAATGAAAGCAAAACAAATTGGGGTGTTTTATATTTGGTTATTATACACTAGAAAGCACCGGCAGCCATACGAAATGACCGCTGTTTAAATTGTAATTAAAATGATTTGTGCAAAGGTGTCTGCTAATTTAAACTGAATTACCCAGGGCAGGCGGCGAAGGACTACCCTTTGCTTAATGCCCCACGGGGTTTTTCCCTTCTACTTGTTTAATTGCTTAAAGTAGAGTGCAATGAAGGAAACCACTGGCGGTACATTTCTTAATAGCCACCGCTAGCTCAATAAATAAAGGTGATTTAAGTAATAAAATGTTAATTCACATGTCAAAGATCTCTTTGTACACAACATTTCTTGTGTAGATCTTTCTATTATTTTTAAGCTCGCCTATCAGAGGACCATCCATTATTTTTAATTTTACGTCCGTTCTTTCATGAACTCTTGAACAGGCAGCATGAAGTTGACCGCGGCCAAATGCGGGCTCAGGTAAAAAATGGCAACACGCTTAAGCGTTTGATCCTGAGACTTATTGATGGTCATAGCAATGGCAAGTTTTACAGGAAATTGTCTACGTCCCAATTGAAACGGCAACCCTGTGCCGTGGCAACTTCACCCCGTTGGCTAGTACAGTTTCGCAAGCAACCAATAAACTATCGGGGACAAACAGACACTTAAGCCGCATATATATATATATATATATGGGGTGAAGTAACATCATCTCCTCCGAAACGGCTGGCTCCCGGGATTAGCGAAGCACACCGTTGGATTCCGCAGATCCGTGGCACGCCATTTTGACCATTCGCATCTTCTCGGGACTTTAATTAGCCGAGATATTATTTAAAAACTAATTTTCCCCTACGTTTTCCCTACATTTTCTACTTTCTTTCTTAGATTTTCCCTATTAGAGGGATTTGGCTGCGTGCCAAATTCTTGATCTCGAATATCTACGGAACGGCGCCGAGTTTAAATTCGAGACGCGTATCCTCGGATTCCAAAAAATTCTCCGAATCCATTGAAACCGTTCTCATCTTCGTATGACTTTAATCGGCCGTGATATTAATTAAAAACTGCAGAAACTTTAATTTCCGCGCTCATTTTTCCGAGTGTCAACAATAAACTATCGGCGACACACACTTTAGCCGCTTATGTATATAAAGACAATTCATTTGCTGCTTTTAATAACAAACTTAACTCTACACAATTTCTTCTTTCTTTGTACAGCTTTACGCTCTTACAATATCAATTATGTTTTATAGTTTTCGTCTTCCGTTTCATTGTTTTCTACGTATATCTGAAATTTTACTCAAGCTGTGCAAATGTATGTCACAAATCTGACATCTCTTGTTATTGTTGTGACTTATCTTACTTGCCTGACAGTAACATCAGAACAAGCCCACGAAATTCATCGTGGCAAGGGGTGCAACATTGCGCCTGTTGTTGGCAAGATCCTTGAGCACCATAGAGGTAACAGTACGACTTTGCTCGGTTCCACCCCAAATTTTGACGGAGAGCATCCCGCAAATTTTGACGGAGAGCATCCCGCGAAAGTCTCCGACACCTCTATCTCTACCAACAATCTCTCAAGACGTTCGGTTTGCTGTATATTTAGTGTACCGCCCTGTCATTTACACACACATATGCCTTATTCATGATTCGTACCCGGGCCCTTCTGTACGGCAGTCAGCGTTGCTAACCACTATCCTGTTTGGGCGGCATCTGTCATCTTATATTAGAGAAGCCCATTATGCCTTTTTATTGCCATTAATTGAAGATTTGTATCCATTAGAAATGAGTTTCTTTTCCATGTAAAGACTTTTGTATAAACAGTGTAAAATCTGAACCCTTTTAGATTTTCTTTTTAACGTAATTTTCTTTTTACTGATAATTTTTGTTTAAAAAAGAACTTCTATGGGCATATAGTATTTCTTATTTAACTTATAAGCTAGTGATGTCCATGGACACATATTCCAGAAAGGGAGAAGATACATTTTAAGTGACGTAATTTTATGAAAGCATTTTTTCACCATTTAAAATGTTTTCACCAGTGCATTCTTCACCATTTCCCAACTGAAAATTTAATTTTTCTTATGCTTCTCTGTCGAAAACGAAACCTCGTGATCATAATAATATCCTGTACTAGCACGGACATCATAAAACTGATAGCTTTATATCCAAAATATGCAAAAGATTTTGTGTTTATAATGTGGCAGCAGTTTTGACCGTACAAATTCTGTCTATGGTCATTTAGTTGATTACATATAGCATGAGACTATTTAGTGTTTTGTGTATGAAAAGACGTTGATACATTACTTCTAAATTATGATATAAAGGGTGAAAAATCAAACCTAAAAGAAGCATATCAGCCATGATATTGTATGAGAATAATTTATATACAGACTGGCAGATTCACGTTGAATAGTATTGATCCAACACAATACCACTCCTTGCGGTTATACAATTTTCTTCATATACAAAAGTACGATAATGTGGAAAATCTTTGCCATACATTCAGAAACGTGCTTTTTTTCATAGCAGAGTTTATAAGCAAGGAACAGAAAAGTTACCCGAAAACAACAATGGCTTATAGATGCTAATGTATATGAAAACGCAGCGTTTAGTACTTTCTCTTTATAGCGTAATGTATTTCGCTCATTTGGAAATCTCCAGACTGTTTGCAGACATCCAATTACTTGAAAATTGGTAAAAGAATTACTAACCTGCTCGACTGCACTCAAGTTTAAATATCTCAGTCAAAATTCCTCACATGAAAAAATATTAATCTTAAATGTTTATTTAAATGTTTGTGTAAATATTACATCTGCTTTTGTTTTTAAATCGTCCATTTCTCTTTAGGTATTCCATTCATAAATATAGATTTTTTTTTATCTCATATGAAGACGAAAATTTCTTTGATCAAGTGAGAGAAAAGTATGCGTATAGGGTCAAGCATCTTGAGATTTCTGTTTCGAAAATGCGAACTTATAAGAATGAAATTTCAAGGAAATAACTCGAAACCCTCAAGGAAGTTTCAAATTTTTTCTCTAAGCCGCTCTAGAGTACAATCCTTAATATGATCGAAAATTTATTTTACGATAATTTTACGAGAAACTACAAAAATTCAGTCTGGTGATAGAAGTGTATAAGGGAACTGAAGACCGGTGTGAGTACTGGAGTACGGTTAGTTACAGAAGACAACATTTCCAAATGTGAATAAAGAACTCAGCTCTATCAGTATTATTGAGTATTGAGATATGTATGGAACCCAGTCATTAACATGCTCCAAATAGAAGACATATAGGATATTTGAAGAGCCATGTTACAATTAGCACGTCCTGAAGTACGGAGTACCACTTGTATGTGTGTCATGTGACCTATGGAAAAGTCTTACAGTATTTGTAACGCTTTTGGAAAATTTCGTGGATTTCCCTTTCCTTTTATGTGTACATTCATAACGTTTGTGTCATAGCTGTTTTGAAATCTAATGAATAATTTATAGTAGCCTAAAATTCTTTAAAAGAAATCTTTGACAGTAGTTAAATTTTCTTCCATCCAAAATATGGTTGTTTACTGATGCCTGTTTTCTGATAGTTTTTACTTATATTTACAAATTGATTGCATTTTAAATGTAGATTTGTATTTCAGTCATTACTAAATCACAATTATGATAACGCTCTAATTAACTAAATTATTATTAAGTAAGCAACAATCTAAATTGTTATTAAGATAACGAGCAGTAGTTCGAAACTAAATTTAAATGTTTTTCACGAGTTATAATATCTCAATTGTTATCACTGAACATTTGAGTCATCGTCGCTTATGAATACTATTTTTGCATCAATCTCGGAATTATTTCTTCAAGCGATTTTATCATGAATACATATATCATAAAACTGAGTTTCTCTAATAATAAAACAAATTACCTGACAAAATCATAGTTTCGTTTAGTTCAGATTTCAAAGTCTTGAGCATTTTATTCACACCTTCAAAATCCTGTGTAGAACGGTGACAAAAAAAGAGTTAAAATATCTTATTAGCTACGAAAAAAACAAAAATAAATGCTAACTTAAATCTTTCTGAAATTCTAAATTTGTTCAGTAGAACGATAGGATTAAAACGCTTAATACATTTCAAGATACTAAAAATTTAATTTTCTCATTTTTAGCAGCAGTTTTGTTTAAGTCCACAAATATGAAGAAAGCTCTTATGAAAATAGGTTTAGAAAATAACTCTTTTCATTATTTTATCAAGCCTTTTAATTATTTAAGCAGTTTATAGAAATAAAGTGAGTCTAATCGGTATTATTATGCATTGTTCTTCAGCTTCAGGATCAGTCTTTCGAAGACACAATCCATTTTTATGATTTATTTCTTAAATTTGTATTTTTAAGTAATTTTATTTTTCGATAAAGATTTTTAATCATAACCTATAAAACGTTTACCATCATCTTAAAGTAGATGTGTTTCTAAGCACACCTGCAAAAAATTAGAGTTTTTATTCAAAATTTCCTGAGATACACGTGAGTTTATATATTAGCGCGTTTAAAATTTGGCATATTTGTTGAAACAATAATGACATCAAAATGTTATTTTAGGCCCTTAATTAAAATAATTTGAAAGTAAAAATGGTGTGATTTTTTTCCGCTCATCCACAATGTAAAAAGGTAGAAATGATGTTACGCTTTTTTCCTCTCTTGCACAATGGAAGGGAAAGGAAAATAGGTTGCCATATATTAAGAAGTTCGCCAAGTGTTTGGCGCAAACTGAAAAAAATGCACCAAGTTAAATTTTTTAATGTCTCCGTAAATTTCGCACTAAATTTTACAAAATTGAATATTTAGGCATAATTGGATAATGGAAAAAAAATTCGCATGCCATTTCAGAAAAAAGTCCGATTTTGTTCCAAAATCCCTATGTTATAATAATGCTATATATATATCTAATATATGTCCTAAGTCGCGTTTTCGAGACATGTCTCTTTCTGTAATTCTATTGATGTAAAAGGAAGTCTTAATGTTAAATTATTCGCTTACCCCAACAGCAACAGCCCATATCTGAGGTCTTCCTACAAATACCATCTTAGCTCCTTTAGCTAAGGCTTTGAAAACATCGCTTCCGCTTCGAATGCCTCCATCAACATACACGTCCTTAGGACTGAATTGTTCATTCATTGCCTTCACGATGCTCGGCAAGATATCAAGCTGAAAAAATATAATATATTAAACATTACAAATTGTTCTGCATTACAAAAATTTCATTAACTATCAACATTATTTTATTTCAAAGTTGCTGTTATGGAAATGGACACAGGAACAAAATAAACAAATAGAGAAATTTTTATTCTTCCCCCTGGATAATAATTTTTACCAACTCTTCTACTAATTATTGTCTCCATATTAATTATGCGTAATATATCGTAAATATATTTCATAAATATATTTTCATGCACTTTGTTTAGGTCATAAGTAATATTAATTTACTTTTATTTAAAATGTTTCTTTGTATCTTATTACATATGCTCATAACATATTAGAAATAAGTAATATGTTTTAATGGTTGTGTGTAAAATAAATCTCAACTTTAAATTTTTGTTCATTTAGCTGATTGGTTGTCATTATACATGCTAGCTGTCGAATGCTGTACTTTTTCAATATATGAGTATTGACATCACTGATCACTTTGTCCGTAATTTGTATATATATAAATACACTCAGCAGTGGAACTGACGTCACTCCAGGTTCCCATCCAGTATCAGATGAGCAGTGAATATGGACAAAAGCAGACTCGATTTGTTGCAACGGAAGCTGTGAAGGAGATGGCTCCGTTGAAGATAGGCAGATGAGCCTCATAGGAGTTTGGAAGATCGTCTCTCAGATGTTTAATAGTGCTCAGCCAGCATTTAAGGATATTTGAACTTTGTGCCAGTGATGATAGAATATATACAGCGAAATGGAACTGTGTGTGGACTAACATATTCTTTTGGGGTTGCCCAACATTTATGTATGTAAACCTAGACAGCTAGATTTCTTATTTCATCATAATAGTTTTTTAATAAGTAGTTAAAAGTTGTATAGTTTAAACTTTGCATTGTGCTCTCTTTACACCTCATATATATATATATATATATATATAATATAATATTTAAATAAGATATATATATAAATAAGAAAGGCATTTAAAACCTAGGAAAAGTCGTTATATATACATCCTTCGTCAGAAAAGTTTCCAGGACATTTTTTTTCTTTATTTTTGAGTTTGCAGTACTAAAAAGGGAACAATTTTTGTTAAATCGTATGTATTCTTTTACTTGACATGACCTTCGCCATGTTTCCGCTCGAACTTACTAGGTGGCAGGGCTGTGCTCAACAACCCAATGTTCGGATTGTTGTCGCATTCGTTAAAGTCACACATTGGATGCTGATTGTGAGCAAACACTGAACGTTAAGCTTGAAAAAACTCTTAGTGAAACGTGGAACATGATGAATCAAGCATATGCAGGCGAGGTACTTTCAAGAAGTTGGGTTTTCAAGTGGCACAAAAGGTTTCATGAAGGCAGAGATTCAGTGCAAGACGATCTCACATCTGATGCCGATGCGCGGAGCGTGTAAGACAGTTATTGCAAGACCGCCGTGAATATGTGAGTGTGATATTAGAAGAACCGAATTTTTATCGTAATCTGTGTCATAAAATTTTAAGCGAAGATTTAGGAAAACGGAAACTTAATGTATTAATCGTCTCTCACTCACTAACAGATGAAAGAGGATACACGAAACTGCTGAACTATTGGATAGAGACAGACGTGTACTCACATTTGGGTCGAAGATTATTGTGATTTCTTCTTATTTCTGTGGGTGAAAAGGTGATTGAAAGGAAAGCTTCATCGAGATTATTGCAGACATCCAACGGACTGTTCCAAATGAGCTTGCAAACAGCGCAGTTGTAGATTTCTCTGCTTGCTTCCAAGACCTTCAAAAACGTTTGGGAGTTGTATATAGATAGCCAAGGTGACTACTTGCTATCAACTAGAATCATTATTTGTTATATGTAATTTTCTTATTTTTTTCGCCCTTTGCCTGGAACTTTTCTTACAAAGGATATGTGTGTGTGCTTATATATATATATATATATATATATATATTGTTTCACAAGAAAATAGTAAAGTAAAATTAAAGAAGAATATTTGTTAAATTCAAATCTATATATATATTCAGTTCTTCTAATATCATACTCTCAGTGTCACGGCAGTGTTGAAAGAATATATATATATATATACATATAGAGAGAGGGAGAGAGAGCTCATGTGTATTATCAATTAATCGAGTTCTCTTATATACCAAATATATATACTAAAATAACTATAATTTATGTAGTTCAGTTTGTATATTTGTATGCATGAGATATTAACTTAACTATATATACTGCAATAAAGTATCTAGCGATGAATATCAATACATGAAAGGATATAAACTTGTGTTTCGAATTATAATATTGAAAAATCTTAAATGTTATGTTGTTGAATATTGTTATAATGAATATAAAATTATTAATGATTTCGAAAATGGTATAATTATAATAATTTAATTTTGTGTAATTAAGAAGTAAAATTAACAGAGAAAAATAATTTGAAATTATGGCAAATGAATTATAATAAAATTAATAAAACTGATTTTGAGTAATAAAATTAAGAAGAAAAATTAATGGAAAACTGTAGTTTTAAAATTATGGGAAATGAAAATTATGATTACGTAATCGGTTACTGTATGTAAGGGAGCATTGGTTCAAAATTACTGAGGAATATACTTTTACCTATTAAAATAAATTGTTCCTTTTATCATCTTATATGAAGAAAACGTTGGAGGCTAGTCCTATTGAGTTACAATATTTTTTGTAATATAGAATGAAACTGCCAGTTACCATATGTAAGGAAAGGAAGACTTTAACTTTTGAGAAACCCTTGGCCATGGGCGAAGTTATCCAGCAGTCAGTAAAAGTGGACAGTTTTGATGTAAATGCTTAATTCTGAAAACTGCTGAGCCTTAATTTTTTTTTTTTTTTTTTTTTAAGTTGAAACATTAGATATGAAAAGCAACAATGAATCCATGATTTAAGAATATTACAGTATTTATGATATTAAATGGTATTTATATAAATGAAAAATTTGTAATATATTTTTTATATTTGCTATGATTATTAAGATAAGTAATGGATTTATGAAATTTTTAGAAATTTACCTTCTATGAAGAATGATTATCGTTACGTGGACTTTCAAAAACAAGAACGTTTTCAAATTGGAATAAATATTGATATGTAATTAGGACTCTAAAAATTAAGATTATTTTCAAGCATATAACGACTTCAAGATTCTAAATTGTGTTATATATATATATGTGAGTGTGTGTTTGTATAAACATAACCTGAAGTTTTTAAATGAAAGTCTGTTCAAAGCGAGATATTTTGTTTAACGTACTGCGGGTTACTTCCTCTTCTTTAGCACTCTCCTTTAGAAAGCATTATGAAAGACAGGAAATACCGACAGAAATTTATCACCGACTAAATTGCTGTAAATCAAAAATTTTTAATATGTAAAATTTCTAACAGTCCAGCTACTGAAAACAGAAATTTAAGAATTGCCTATTCAAGCTAATGCGCAGAAAGTAAATATGGTTGCGAAATGGTCAGCCGCGGTAAGAGAGCTTCCCCGCAAAGCTGGGTGCAAGAAAATGGCAAGGGAAGGCAGGGTTACCATACTTGGAGAGAAATCACCCATTTGGCGATATGCCATAGACGGATGGAGAGTCCTTCCGGAACGAATTCTTACCGGTTTGGCACAGAATTTTCTCGGACACAAGCTGAAAGCTATATGAACCGTGTAAGTGCGGCGAGAATTACCATAGCAATTTATGTCAGCTTAAAAAAAGAGGATAAACCGAAATGCATTTTTTGCAAATTAGAACACGTCAGCAGTTATCGCCGTTGTAAGGAGTACCTTAAACGATTTGAAAAGAAAGTTCAGAAAACCAAACCTGCAGTTTGAAAAACTGACACTGAGAATTTTCCAGAGGTGATCAAAGCAGAAGAAATTCCAAAAAAGAAGAGCGCCCTTAAAGTCTCGTACAGTCACAAGCTTCAAAGAAAAATTTAACCTCCACCTGATGATGTTAGCGAGGCAATCTCCTGGTTGAGTGACGAAAAGATCTCGAACTTTTTAAAGTCTATCATCTCACATATAGGTAAAATACAGGCAGCAAATACCCCAGCAGATAAACTTAGAGCAGGATTTCAAGCAGCGATGATGATGGTTAACTTTGCTGAAGCAAATTAGCACCGGATGGCACCACGTGAGCAGTTTCTTAACCCTGAATCTCTTTTTCCGGCCTGTTTAGCACCCGACCAATAGATGGCGCCACAAGAAGTGAAGACTAAGCCTGAATTTCCTTTTCCAGACTACTCAACATACGGCCAACAGGTGGCAGCACACGCGCCTCACCTGTTTTTTTTCTTTAGCACTTAGGAGGTGAGGTGCTGGATCTCCTGTCCTTAGACGGATACGAACTTATTTAGGATTCTCCTCACTAGGCCACATAGTGGTGAAGGTCCTTTTAAGGACCGTATACCACTCCGCTAGGCATTGGATAGGGATACGGATACGGAGTAGCAGTCAGTTAATAGTCAATGCGAGTGTCTCGTAGTCTTGCAGCGAGTTGATAGTCAGTCTAGCGGATCGATCGCGAGTCTACTGAGTGTCTCGAGTTGGTCGTCGGAGTATCGAGAGTCAAGGGAGGGCATCTTCATCGAGTTTTATCGTCAGTCTACAATCGAGTTGGTGCATCGTTGAGGCTCTCTTCGAGTGCATCGCGAGTTTAAGCGTGGAGAGTCTCGAGAGTGCATAGAGTTCCGAGAACGACCGAAGCGAGTCGGGAGCTGTACTCTGGTGCTTTCCTCTAAAGCTTTATTCACCGCGATAGTTTGATAGCCTGAAGGTTGTTGCGTGCTTGTCGTAGTTCTTCGACGACTGTAGACGTGATTTTGGTACCGTCCTGAGTAATACTGGTAAATAAATTGTGTTTCAATACTTCATCAAGTGCAGTCGTCTTTATTCACTCCAAATCGCAAGAACCTGTGCAGAAGAAAGGCGAAAATATGAATTAGACACAAAAGTTAAACACGCTAATCGTTTCTGCTTACCGTAGCCGGGGATCCATCGACTTGCCTACCACCATTATTCGATACCATAATGGCAGATGCTCCAGCATTTGCTGCATTCTTTGCATCTTCAACTAGAAAAAAAATTATTGAAAAGAAATTTTCATTTACATAGCTGAAATCCGTTTATACTCTCAAAAAATATTACTTGTAGTAAAATTTCAAAAATTCGAGAGCATGCGATGCATTTCAATATTTGGTTTTCAACATTATTTGAAATAGCTGTGAAATTATAACATATTGTATCTCTTGTTACCAAATATTTTTATTTATTGTGCGTGTTAGATAATTGTTGACGACGTGATAACAGTATAAGATATTTCTTCCGCCTTTCTAGCGTGCATTCGTGGTGTAGTCGTCAGCACTCTCGACGCGTATAATTGATGTCCGTGGCTCGAGTCCCGGCGAAGGCGTTGCTAATTTTTCATCGCTCCTGCTTGAAAATAACCTAATGTCTCTACAACACTAGAAAAACTGTAAAATTCTTGATCCTGTATATTTAACGGAAATACAAAGCATTAAATTTATGAGATTATTTAATATTAAGGTAGCATATCTCAAACGACGCGATAAGTGCCAGACCAGAAGTTTCGAGTTCGTAAAACTAAACTAGCCTCTTAATAGCTCGAAACAGTATTCTACATATTGCTAATAAGTTACTCATTTATAAGTAGACGTTGTGGTACATTGTTATGCTAGGCCCGTCCAGTCTGAACGTATTCTTGTAAATTTAAATAAGAAACTTCAAACTAAGAAATAAACTTCAAACTGCACAAAACTGTTCTGAAGAAGATCTCCAAAGCACTCTGGTACGTTCCTGTCAATGTCATTCATGAAAAATATGCCACTGTCCAAATGAGATCATTTTATTACTATCTTACAAGAAATTTTCATGTAAAAATGAGAATACTTAGTCAACTTGATATCCGGATCTATAATTACAACTATCTGCATGAGCAGCATAAAAATCAGCCATACTTAACCCTAGGATGATAATCCCTAACTTACTTAACTTGTACTTAACCCTAGGGTATTTAATATCGTTTTATTTATAATATTATCATTCCTTAATTTGTATTATTTTAGTGTATTATTATTATATGTATTCCTTTTAAATTTTGTATCACATGCATAAAATGTACCACTACGACCGCGTGGATTGTGCATTTAAGCACTTTTTGTTGCCAGCTCGATCAGCTTTCTGAAAAATCTCTTCCAACTAATTAATTAACATTCATAATATTATTTAAAAGAAAAATTTCAATAATGTCAATTTGTTATTTTATTTCTTAACGGATTATTAACTATATCATTTCGAAATTTTAATCGTTCAATTCAGGATAGGACACTGGGCCCAAGCACCCGGGTGTTTAACTCTTTGAAGACCAAAACGCCCGAGACAGCCTTTCATTCAAACGACCACCACCACCCGAAATGGCCGAGATTGCGATGTTGTTTTTTCCCTCCCCCTAAGGTATACAGTAGCAGGTGCAGTTTCTCCAAACGCATAGTATGAATTTTTTGCAGACAGCTTGTCCTAAAAGGATATAGTTGTGGTTTCTTATTTTTAGGTCGCCCGTGACATTTAAAATCTTCACACCTCTTTGTGCGCTTAGTGAACGGTAGAGGAGAAAATTGCTGTGAATCTGGAAAGGCATTTTGGGCGTTTTGATACTTTTAGCATACAAGTTAGCGAAGTTTTTGGTTTTCTCAGGATTAAACACCATTAAACGGCAGCTGCAACCCTGAGTAATCATGCAAATTACGGGGAGTAATGAAATGCAAAGAGATGGATGTCGTAGTACGTAGACAAAACAGTTTCGAATCATGCATCTGCATCTGCCATAATATCTGTAATTTCATCTTTTGAGTGCGCATCGTTACAGAGCTGGATTATTTATTTCTGTGGTAGACAGAAAGGCGTTACGTTATGTCTACACCTAATTGAGCATGGATTGAAAAGTTGAACAAAGTTTAGCTAAATTGATGTCACTTGCGTTTGAATGAAATCGCAAAAATCCTACGAAATGATTAAAGCGACTTATATAAAGAAAATGCTTTTTCACGTGCATGATTTCTGAGGGATGCAAGACATTTTATTAAAAGAGACTTGAAAATGTTCACCATTTCCACTGCAAATTAAGATGAATCATAAATTTCCTCAAATCCTAAAATGCTCTTGAATGTTTCGAATGGGCCCACGAGCGGCCGAGCAGTAAAAGCCGCTGAACACTGGTGGTTCTTTCCCAAGGGTTCGAGACCCGGCAAACGGGCTGGCTGCATTTGCGTTTTTCGTTGTTTTTCCTATGTGTAATGTGGATAGAAAAACAATTTTCCATTAAAAAGCCCTCCACGGGGCATACTCGTGTAGTACCTAAGGGCGGAGCACATAATAAGTAAAAAATGTTTCGAATTCATAGTGCCTCGCTTCCTTTGTAATTGCTAATATTATTAATAAACTACTAAGTTTGATTAACTACTTGGACAACCTATATATTTCGCACTTTAAATATTACATAAAATGTTATGTGAGTTGTATTCTTGATAAGTGATTCTTTGGTGAGTGATTTTGCATATAACATATTTGAAGCAGGGTTTATTGCACGTTTCAAAGTTCAAAGAGCAAATCTGTATATTAAAACTGTTACAAAGTAATCTCCGTATTTTTAGAATTGAAATATTAAAATATCCAAAACATGCATGAAACTTCTATTTTCTAAAACCTGAAAAGTATGGATTTCCAAAAAAATCATCATAAAATAGCCCTTACCTGTGTATATGCCTTTTACGACAACTGGCAATTTTGTTTGTCTGGTTACCCATGTAATGTGACTTGGTAACAATTTTGGTTCTAAGGCTGGCTCTTTCTCATCGGAAAAGTTTGCGAAACTGCAAAGGAAAATATTCAAATTTAAAGAAAGCAGACTGAAAGCATTTTCATAACAAAGGTCTTATAGAGAAATTCATCAAATATTTTGATAAATACAAACTAAGTACACAGCCATCTAAATAAATACCCAACCACCTTATCGGGATAGTCGTTAGTGACGCTCACTGCCGTACCGAACGGGCCGGGTTGAATTCCGGAAAAGGCCATAGATGTTTGCAAATGTATAGTATTTGTACGGCATGGGGGCACTTTAACTGTCTGATGAGCCAAAAGTCCTTTCGAGAAATTAGTGTTAGGTGAAGAGGGGAGAGAAACCCTCGGATCCATCGCTCTGGGGTGCTCTCTCCTTCAAAATAGGAGGCGGGACGGAACTGAGCATGGAAGTCGTACTGTTACCTGCTATTCCGCGGGAAAGCGCGTGGGGGCTATCATACCCCACTTTCTACAAAAAACTGGAATATTCCTAACTTGTGAAACTGAAATTCTGTTGCTGCTTTCAATAGCTGAGCTTCTAGTTGTGGTTGACTTTCAACTATGACTTTCGGTACTATGAAGATTGCATTTCGGAAACTAAAGATGAAAATAGGAATATTTTCTACACTGTTTGATTTCGAAAAAGATAAAACATTAATTTCTTATGTTCCTATAAAAAGGAAAAACTGTTCTTATGCTTTAAACATTATATAACGATCATACTATAGATGATACTATTGGAAAAAATAAAACATCAGAAATTATATGTTTTTATGATATGACTAAAAGAGCAGTGGATACGGGGGATGAAATGTCAGCTAGTTATTCAATTGCCAGAATAAGAAGGAGGTGGCCAAAGGTGGCCAATGGTAATTTTCTTTTCTGCACTGAATGTTGCTGCAATAAATGCTCGAATTAAATTACATTCAACTGCTAATCCACCAACCAGAAACAGAAGTAATATCTGTTTTTGAGGGACTTTGCATTACAATTAATAAAAAAAAGTATTGAACAAAGATCAGAGATTAATACTTTACCGAGAAACTGACGTATTGCATGCAAAACAAGAGCAGAAGTTTCTACGAATAATTCAAACGAATATATGAAATTCGAAACAACTAAGTACAAAAGATGTGACGAATATTTTTTTTTGTCCCTCGAGTCAAGGACAGAAGAACGTGAATGCGATGTTTAAAATGTGAAAACTTTCTGTGCCAAAAACACATGAATGTAATTCGTTCAAAGTGTAACGAAATAAAATAAGCCTTTGTATTAGAGATGCGATAAAACGTAGAGGCATGATGTTTGTTTTGTTATTATTTTCATTTATCTTAATTTTCACTCTAAGAATATTTTGGAAATTAATTTTTTGAAATCCAATTATTTTTTACGTGTTTATAATACGCGAGAACAAGAAAAACAGTTTTAAAACTAAATAAAAGTATGTTTATCATATTGTAAATATTGGGTATGTGATACCCCACGCGCTCACACTAGTAACTTTTCATGATGCGACTTCGGCCGGGTTATATAGTGCTCAAGGTAGATCGGCCGGGTTATATAGTGCTCGACAGGCGCAATCTTGCTCCACTTGCCACGATTTGAATTTTCCGGGCTTATTCTGGTATTAGCGACCTGATCTGATGTTACTGTCGATCGGTTGGGATATGCCATAAATAAAAATTAACGTTACCTTAATATTATTTAATATGGTTCTTAAAACATTTTATAAGGCAGTAATAACTTTCTTTCAGTTCTTATTTTGTTTGTTTATTTGGCCATCCTCATCTTTTCCTATTACACCAAACTGTATTTTATAGTTCTATAAGAACTAAAACGAAGGAATTTAGGTTTATGTGTTTATTTAAAATATAAGAAATTGAAAATTAAAATTAAAATATTTTTTTGTTTTTATACAATGGTAAGTTATTACCAAGTGGACTATAATATAAATTTAAAATACAAACCTCATTTAACATTTTTAATATTTTTATTTAACCTTTCAAATTTTGCTTCCGATGAAGCAGGAAAACAAACGAACGACTAAAGCTTTTATAAGCTACATTATCGAAGCAACATAGCGTTGCCATATTAAGCAACACAAATATAACCACTTTAATTGCGCAAACGATTAGCTATTTTACAGATTGGCGTTAACATACAATAAACAAAAAAATCTGAAAAGTTTCAGATTTTAAATTACGTCCGAGAGGCGTTTTTTAACGTTTTGTGTTCACCTTTGTTTATTAAATATCATGTTCCTTGCACTTAAACCATAAAATTCAGTTTAACAGCAGTGTCGCCAGATAATTTTAAAATGAGTATATCTTTAGAATTTCCGATACTCAATTCCGCGGACAGGAGATAAAAAGGTTTTTCTTCCGCCGTAAAAGTGTTGCCATTGCTCGCTTTGAAATCGTTGAGTTTGTTACTCAAAAATTCGTTAAAGTTTTACAAAATATGAAACCGATCATAAAACAAACTCCAAATTTCAAATTTGGGCTTCCACATGCCCATATTCGCAGTAGGATTACGTCATTCAAAATTGGTTGGCTCTAGGTACCGTTTTTTTATCACAATGCAAGAAATATACATATATTTATGCAGATTCTTCATTATTTAATTTCTTTAAATATAATGCAAGTCTCTAACATTTGGTGGTAACAGTTTGAAAAATGACACGCAGTTTAAAGTGATTCCACGCAAAATGCCAAAACGAAAACAATAGTCCTTCAGCGACAAAGCCCCCTTTGAACTAATAAAAAAAAATGTGGGAAAAGAATATAAATATGTTGATTTTTTAATGCAGACATAGCTTTAAAACCCGCTTTTTCATACTTTGCTTTTAAAAAAATCTCACTATAGAATCATGTTTCATACTTATAGTTTTTTTGTTTGCCATTAAAACGTGTTGTGAATAATCCCTGGAATAATTTTTCCAAAACTTAGGTAAAATAGTAAATACATTTTTATATTTTCTTTCGACGTCAAAGTATCAAAGGAAAATTCTGTTAACAAACTTATTTCTTTTCACTTATATTCAGTTTTTTCCTTCACAACATGTCTGTTATTATCGAATGTGTTTTCAATCATCATTTTACTAACTACAATTTGTGTAGGATACTGAGTCATCTTTGGCATTAACATTAAACAACACATTTAAAATTATTATAGGAAATGTGTTTAAGTTGTTCATTTCAATGTAAAGTTAAGTTAACGAACAAACGACTTTTATAATATTATTGCTTTAAAAATAATTCCAATTTAATAGGGAAAAATTTAAATTTAACTAATTTTTAATTGATAACATACAACCCGCAGTTATGCGTATCCACTTAATCGTCAACCGTTCCTGCCATCCTTACAACCTAAACGCATTGTACAGACATCAGGTATTTTTTGAAAACAGATGAGATGAAAAATGAACAACACCTTCGCCAGGACTCGAACCACGGGCCTCTCAAATACTCGTCGAGCTTGCTGACCACTACACTACGAAGGCATGCTACACTACGAAGACGGGAATATCATATGTTATCACTGATAACGTATAATATTCTATTAGCCTATTATAAACAATTAAATTTATTTTTAAATTAATTTTTTTTCTTGCCTCCAATGAATTGACGGAACTTATGTTTTTTACGCAAACAAAAGTGCGAATTTAACCTCTGCTTGCATAAGATATTAATATTTGTATTTATTCAATCCTTACTTATATTGTAATACGAAATGTATCTGAAATTTGAAAATTATCTACAAGCCCGATATTAATTGAAAATTCCAATAAACTCTGAGCACTTTTTAACCTGATAATCAAGTACTTGAAGTACACAGAATTAAATTTTGTTGTTATTTTTGCTAATGCTCACTTGTCTGACCTATAACCAGCCGAAGCCCACGAAATCGCTCGTGGCAAGGAGCGTAAGTGTACGCCTGTCGTTGGCAACAGCCTTGAGCAGCATATAGGTGACAGTGCAATTTAGCTCAGTTCTGCTCCCAATTTTGATGGGGGGGGACGGGTTTGAGGGTCTCCCATCACTCTTCCTCTACCCCCAACCCCTCGATAGGACTTTAGGCTCTCCGCATACTTAGAGTGCCCCCCATGCCGGACGGACATTATGCATCTACAAACATTCACGCCTTCTAAGGATTCAAGCCCGGGACCTTCGGCACAGCAGCTAACCCGCTTGGGCGGCAGAATTAAATGTTACTCTTTTCTTTAACATAGCGAATAAAAGTACTGCATGTAGCAACTTTTGCAAAGATGAAAGCATAAACATAAGAAAGTGAAAAGAAAAATAAAGACTCATAATTATTATTCAACAAACAAAGAATAAAATGTTACCGTCTCTTGAAACGGTTCTTCATCTTACCTAACCCCTAAATCGTCCAATCCTTTTCCAGCACTGCAAGTCAGAGTAGGACGAACTGGTGTATCTACAGTCAAGACGAAAGCACTAACACCAGCCTTAACAGCCTTCTGGATGAGATCTCTAGTTATTTCTATCTTCTTGAACATGTAGAGCTGCATCCAATACTGAGATTTAGAATCTTGGATTATTATTCCCAGGTCTTCAAGGGGAATAGAGGAATAACTGCTTATAATCATAACCGTCCTTAAACCCATGACACCTACAAGCCGTAAAAAGTCATCATCAGTTAAACATGAATACAACGAAATATTTATGCATTTCATGCTTTAACACTGCACAAGTAAGTTTGTATAGACATTAGGATATTTTGAAGTAGGAGCTATGAAAAACGAGCAATGCTTTCACCGAAAGTACTCGAACCTAGACCTCTCGACTACGCGCCGAGTGGGCTACCCTTACACTACGAAAGCACACAAAAAGGAGAGGAAAAATACCTTATACATTCCCCTTTTAAAGGGAGACTGGGGATTAGGGAACTTAATCGAACTTAATACTGGTGGTGAAGAATTATCATCCACCACCTTTTGGTTCGGGTGCCACTGTAGAGACATGAGGATATTTTGATGCTGGAGACATGAAAACTGAACAATGTCTTCACCGAGACTCGAACCTGGACCTCTCAAATACGCGCCGAATGTGCTAACACTAAACCACAAGGCATGCAGAAAGAAGGGAGAAAATACCTTAAAAGCTATTAAAACCTGATTCACTGCCGATGAGAAAAACAGTATCATTTCCGCAGTTTAATATTGAACACAGAGCTAAAGGTACTAATTTTATTTTTTTTTTCAGTTCTTTGATTCTATTGTAGGATTTAATAAGAAAATTCGCTTAAAATTTTGAACCCTGCTCATATCTTGCTGTGAACTATTGGATACAATGAAAATCAGGTATTTCAAGATCTGATGCAGGACTTTGGATAATAGCATAGCGCGGTTTCAAGGATTCTTGTCAATCACGCTCGTCCTGTTCATTCGTGTTAAAGGTAAGAGGCGAATTTCGTTTTATTTATTTAATTTATTTTAAGATACCCGTACTGTATTAAGGGTAGTCTAATCTCTCTAACTCGCCTTTGGATATATATCAAGATCATATGTTAAAAAGAATCTGATGTGGACAACCCATGACTTCCTTGTACGAGCATCAGATTATACACATTTTGGCTGTATTTCTTTTAAACTCATTTCCTCGAATTTCATTAGAGATATCTTTCTCTTCCAATTAATTCAGTTCTCACGTCGCGGCAAGGTAAAGGGTCGTTCAATGTTGACCGAGGAATTTTATTTCTTCCGAGAAAACAGATATAAGAAGAAGTCACCAAACTATGTCAGCTTTTCAAAGTTTTCTCCTTGAGTATCGAGGCACTGTTGGCATTGTTGTGGCAGCTCCCTGATACCTTTGGCGTAGAAAGAACTTGATTGTTGTCGTAGAATCTTGAGGACATCGTTCCGTAGTGCTTCATCTGTCGTGAATTTCTTTCCTCCCAGATAGCCTTTAAGGGGTGCAAACAAATGATAATCACTGGAGGATAAATCTGGACTGACGGGGTGGATAGGGTAGAATTTCTCAGCGCATTTCGACCAGAGTTGTTGTTGTCACATTGGCCGTGTGAGGTCGGGCGTTTTCATGAAGAAGAAAGACATTTCCAGGCAACATCCCAGGTCTGTTCTTGCGAATTGAATTCCGTACAGGACCATTCAACAGTGTGGAGTAGTACTGTATATTTATCGTGCTCCCTTTGTCCAGAAATTCCCCATGGATAACAACCTTCATGTTCCAGAAGACACTTGCCATAATCTTTCCAGCGGACGACTGTGTTTTGCTTTTGGGCAGAGGGGAATCCTTATGCTGCCACTCCATGCTGCTTTATTTGGTCTCTGGGGTTTAATTGTGCAACCATGTTTCATCGCACGTGATGATGGATCGAAACTGATTCAGAAGCTGTTCACAGACCGTCATGCGTGACCACTTCTGATTAAATGTCAGCCGGCGGGGAACTCAACTTGTACAGATTTTGGGAACTTGAATGATTGTCTCAACATTCCCGACACTGATATTTGCCTCAGCAGCAATATCCTGCACTTTCACTCGCCGGTTCTCAAGAATCATTTGCTCAACTCGTAGGGTATTCATTGGTTCTACAAACGTCGGGCGAATGTGTCCATGCGCTCCATTTGTCACCAGCTCCCGTCCTTCGCGAAACTGTTCACACCATTCGTACGCTCTTGTCCGTGACATCATTTGTTCACCATATTGTGTTTGCAATCTTCTGAAAATCTCAGCTGGTTTAACTTTCTCCTTCACAAAAAATTGGATTGTACACGGCTGCTCCACAGCCACAGACACAATGCTTGTCGCCATGTTCGTTGGGACACTGTATGCGCCAAATACGTCATGCCGGGCGTTAGTTACGCGATAAGGAATGCATTACGTCACCAAGCTTCATCATGATCCGGCTATTCATCAATTATTTATACGTACGAAATTCCCGGTCAACCTTGAACTACCCTTTACATAAATCTCAATTAAAATGAGAGTTTCTACGTAAAAACAAGCCATTCGGCCAACGGGACAAGAAGACGGATTTTTCGGTGAACAATACTGGAAGTTTACTTTGGGTCCCCACTCAGTAAAAAGACACTGAATGTGCAGAAACTGACTTAGTTCACTATTCTACTCAGAGATTTCATATGTAAACAAACGGCACTTTGGTTAGGCTTAGTGGCACCTTAACAACTTTTAAACTGGTGCAGGCAGATTAACAAAAATCTTAAAAACCTTAACCGGAACTTAACAACATAATTCAATCGAGTTTAAAGCAAAAAAATGCACAATTTACCTGCACATAAGAATAAAAACCGAACTTAACGAGGCGGGAAGGGTATTAAGTTATATATTTTTGATGTGGTCGATTGCAATCAAACAGGGAGGTTCACATCTATGTTATATCAGTCGCGTATACAAAATTTCAACGTTCTGAGGTTACTCGTTTTTGAGGTATGCGAGATACATACGTACGTCCATTATTCTGTCCGTCAATAATAAAGTTTTCGAAACAAATGGCAAACAAAAAACATACCCAACAAAAATTTTTGGGCATGGTGGGTCAATATATGTCCCACCTAATTAATATTTATTTTCTCAGTTAGCAATTTCCGTTAGAAATTTTCTAATCTTTTAAAAATAATCTATTTTAGTTATTATTTTTCTCAGTAGATGTTACTACTATACCAGGGCTTAAGTTTATAAGCAAAAAATATTCAAAATAGGATCACAAGAGTGATATCCATGTATCTCGCATTTTTCAATATTTTAAAAATTTTGGTATACAATTTATGATATGTATGATTCTTTTTAATATTCAAAGGTATTTTATTTTCAAAAATCTTAATTGGATTCAATATTTTATAACATTAATTTTGCAGTTGAAATAAGTGGGTTAAAATTTGTCCCACCACACACTTGAATTTCCGCTCAATAGATGGCAGCACTCACGATTATTTTTTCTTTTCTTTTTTGCATCTACTTTTTTCGTGATTGCGCGCGCTTTTACATCCGTTGTATGCTCTGATGTGCTAAAATGTCTAGAAAAAAATTAACAACTCAGGAAGCTTTGGATCTTTTTGCTGAATTGCCATCCGATTGCGACTCAAATGCTTCAGATGTCAGTTCTGATTCAGATGAAATTGAAATCCAGGAGAGAATAACTGAGGTTGAAGTTATTGCTGAAGAAGAAAGGGAAGTAGTTATAATTTGTTTCGCTTTTTAAAGACACAGACCCATCTATGCATGTGGCTGCATCTGCATGTGGCAAATGTGGCACTGTAAATATGAATCGGAAGTATCTACCCAAAAAAATTAAAAAAATTAAAAATTTATGTCAAGAGAATATATAGACTTTTCAGTTAGCGATGATTCAATTTATTGCATAAAATGGAAGGATAAAAGATCCGTTTCTATCCTGTCTTGCTTGGAAAAGGCAACTGAAATGAAAGAAATTAATAGAAAAGAACGAGATGGAAAGACAAAAAAAAAAAAAGTACTGTGCCCAAACAGCATTATTTCATACAATAAGAATATGGGATATGTCGACTGATTGATCAACTGAAAGGACTATATGAAATAGACCGCAAAAGCAAGAAATGGTGGCACATGATTTTTTTTTTTTTTTACTTTTTAGATGCGAGTATAGTAAACGCATTTATTCTATTTAAGTTTGTTCGCGAACCCGATCATGATGTAAAAACAATGAAAGATTTTCTTCTCTCAGTTATAGAAGGTCTAATGGCACTTGCAGGCAAGAAAGAGCTGAAAAGAAAACTGAAATCCCCAGTTCAAATAAAAAACTAAAAACCCGTTCGTACAACCAGAAAAGAGACTAAAAAATGTAAGTCACAACGCCAAAGAGAACGAGCAGGAGAAGATGTGCATATTGCAGCACATCGAAAGAAGAACGACGAACATTTTGGATGTGTGAAACATGTGAAGTGCCTCTATGCTTACAAAAGAATGAAATGAAACAACATGTTTTTCAAAGTTTCATGAAAAATGACTTTTTTTCAATTTTAATCATATATAAATGTTTTTGAATCAAGTGCCAATTTTAATATTTTATTTAGTATCATATGTACGAGTATCAAATTTTAATCTTAAAATAATATTCAAGAAAATATTTTCTTTTGTTCCTAAAATTTAAAAATATTAAATATATATATGCAAAATGTGCATATGCAAAATTTTACAAGTCATGCATATATGCAATAAGTACAAAATGCATTTTAGTGTGTTTATTATGAATATTTTAGAATGCACGCTTTATTTTGTTTATTCATTCCACATATGATTTTTTTTTCCTGCTATACACCAATATGCTATAAGACATGTGCTAGTTGCATGGTGGGACAAACGGTATCCCACCTTCCCCGTAAAAAATAAAAGCGCAGAATTTTTTTCAAGCCTTAAAGGCACTTAAGTAAGTCCATCTGACTTATTCTAAGGCATTTTTTTAAAGATTAAAATATATTTTAAATATGCGTGTCGCAAAGGGTATTTTTTTTTTTCATTTTCAAAGTTTTAATTATAAATATATGCTTTTCGACTACCATACAGAAATATATGTGGCACTGCCATAAATGGCAACGTTTACATGATTTTTTATTCCAGAACTGAACAGGTTACTTGAATTACATTTTATAATTCATTGGTCTAGTTTTCTAAAGTCGATATTTTAATGATCGTTCTGTTGTTCATTAATATTATAATTGAAGTTTTTGAAAATATGTTTTATTAAATGAATTTCTCTCACCTGCCGCAGTAGCTACTTCTCCATAACGATGTGCAAGTCTCTGCAAGCCAATCGGAGAAAGACCTATTGGAAAATCTAATGTTCGTCTAAAGACGGTCGTTTCCAATTCGGTGTTTGATACACCTTGCATCACTTTCGGCACAATTTTTACCCTTGAAATGTAAACATATATCAATATAAGTACGCAGGAAATAGAGTCAAAGCATAAATATTAGCTAATGATAAAAAATCATGTGATAAATGTAAAAGGAACTTGCCACCAACTGAGCTAAGCGTTTTCCTTATGGAAGTCTACTTATCTTCTTACCTGAGTAACGTAAATGTACACAAAAGAAGTTAAGAAAACTATTTTATTAAAACGTCTAACATAACAATAGGGAACGCTTGTACTTACAGATCAAAATACAGTTTGCTTAATATGGGCAAGCATTGCCATCCATAAATAAATAAATTAAGTCACATATTCATTTGAAAAGATTTACATAAGATTCGAAGACCTTACCTCACATCTCTAATCGGTCACAGATCCGCAGTTGAAAACGTGTAGGGTATATATCCGTCGATCATTATTTTTCCCTATACCATTACACCTGCATTACCATAAAGGTTACGCCCCAAAATGCTTGAACCTTTGCGGCACAGTGTGTCCGGTTTGGACACACCTAAAAGTTTCCTTCTGTAGGCACAGAAAAATTGAATGAAAAAGGATTTATAGGTTACTATAAGTTACTCTGACACCTTCTTATTTATAGTAGATGGCAGCTCAACACAAACCTGTCTATATATTTTAGCCATGTTTAGTTTTTTGAGACTCTCATTTTTCAAAGAAATCTTCCAAACTTTTTAGGGTATAAAAGGAATTGTTTGAAAAAAAAAATAAATTTTATTTTTTGGCTGTATGCTGATCTTCTTATTCTATATTAGTTTTAAATTTTTACCTTGAAATCTTGCCTAAAATCAAAAGGCGAACCTTAGGTGTGCCCAGACCGGACTCACCGATAATTTTAGGTCAACTGAGAGTCTGTATTCTTTGTTTCTCCGCATCTCATCTGTCAGTTCATTGACAACAATGCTCCTTTCAGCACTCTTTTCGAAGCTCTATTCAATCAGTGTGCCACTTTGGGCACACCCACAGAATTAAAACCATAAGTGCTGTCTTCACAAAATTTTACTTCTGTACTCCTCTAGGCCTAATTAGACTGCCTACCTTCTTTTTTTTTTATCAAAACTCCGACTTTAAAAGGTAGCGTGACGAAAACGATAAACCATTGATGTTCACTCAAATTCTGATGTTCTTTGCAGCAGATAATCCGATTCCTCTTTTGTTTCGTAGACGGTGAAACTCATACCCTTAGTTTTCCGAAATAAATGCGTTTTCTGTTAAGAGTTCTGTATACAGTTTACCATGGTACAACATTTTCAGAGGCGACTGCATGCTCTTAATTTAACTATGGAGCACTAGAATTTCCTGTTACAATGGGCAGTTATTGCCATATGTCGACCTTGAGAATGAATTGTTATTCATTTTTAATGTTTTCAGGCTCCTTACGATAGTTACAAAGCACTGAACTCTTTCCCAATGCGTAGAAACTATCTTGAAATCTCACCGTTTTTCTCACTGTCCGTCCTGCTTCTAAAAGGCCGAAGATTCGCCACATTAAAGATTCTTTCAGATGATTATTCGGAGCCGTAACAAAGTGTTGACATGATACTCTGTATTTCAGAAATTCTCTTACAGTCATTTTGCATGGAATCCACAGAATTCATTCAAGGTGTTCACAGCATTTAGAAATAAACCTGAAGCTAGAAACTCGACATAACAGTTTTGTCGTTAAATGACATAATACCTTGAAGCCTTTTCGACCATTCTCATCTTCCTGCGACGTTAACCAGCTGATATATTAATTAAAATCTCTAAAAACGCTAATTTGTGTTTGATTTATGAAAGCACTGTAGAGTCTCACTTTCTTCGGTAGCATAAACTAGTGAGATCTAGAAAGACTACAGAGGACTAATCCTCTTGTCATAAACTACAGAGGGAGAGAGTCAGAAGAAGGGTGCAAATAGCTCTTTTATTTGAATACAAAAAAGTAACAATGATCCAACTTGGGTTTACACAAGAGAAACACTTCTGGCTTAAATTAATGTTGAACTAATTTAAATGTAATATATTAGCGTAAGGGCTCACGGGATAATTTAAACGCGCAGGAAAGGCTCTGATTTATAAAAAACCGACGAGACAAGCCTCTCGTCGGGCTCAATACAGGCAGCAGAATTAAATCGCTAATAGTCACGTTACAGGTTGGCCTGGAATAGGCAGAACCGCGCTCTAAATTTAACTTCCCAGCCCCTTTCTTAAATAGCTCTTCTTTCCCCCTCAATCTGAATAAACACTCTCTACCTCATTTACATTCTGGCAGGAAAAGCGGGGACGAAAGGAGAGAGAGGAAAAGTAACTGAACTTAAAATTAACTATTAGCTTAAAATAAATAGAAAAAAACCTCACAACATAAAGTTGCATTAAAATAAAAATGATATATTAGGAATAATATTGGAAAAACTAGTGATTCCTTTAATTAGTGTAGTTTAACTCTTTGAAGACCATAACGGTCCAGACCTCCTTTCATTCAAACGACCATAACCGCCCCAAACGGCCGAAATTCCGATGTCGTTATCTTCCCTTCCCTAAGATATGCAGTAGGTGCAGTTCCCCAAATGCATTGTATCAGTTTACTGCAGACTGCTTGCCCTAAAAGGATTTATTTGTGGTTTCTTATTTTTATTTGTTAGAAGTAGAAAGAATGTCCTTTGAAATCTTCACTCTTCTTTGTGCGTTAATGGATGGGGATGGGAGGAAATTGTTGTGATTCTCGAAAACCATTTCGGGCGGGCGGTTTGGTATTTTAACATACAGGTTAGCGAAGACTTCGGTTTTCAAGAGAGTTAATAATGCCAAGTGCTGTGGTACCAGCCTCACCAGCATTCCGTCAACATTATTTTGATGCATCATAGAAACATAAAGTTTTTAAACACCATTGTAGTGCAATTAAGAAATAGTCACTAGTGTCACTAAAATCTGCATTAAATAATATCTCAGGACAATATTTTATTACGTTTAATAAACTTTTGGAATCTTACCTTCTGTAGGCTTCCATGTTTTCTTTGTATGTAATTCCCCTCCCTGATACTCCCAGGAAATAATTTCTAGCTTCTGGCTCAAGCAAAGCAGGTCCGCAACGGTCTAAAACATCTAGCGGCAGGCGATCAATACTGAAATTTGTTTCCCATCAAATAAATTAAATTCGTAAATAGCTCAATTCTATTTTAAACGTATGTATTTATATGAACAATAAATTATCTAAATATCAACGGCATTTTACACAATACATTATTGGATTTTAAACAGTTAGTATTAAAATAGATTTTAAAATTGAAAATAAACAAATATCAATTTAGAATTTAAGGGAACATATATTAGAACTCCACTAATATTAGAAATACAGCGACTGTTCAATTGATATTAGAATTGAATTATTGTTTAAATTAATAGTTAGCAACAATTTGTGAAGTTATTATCAGTACTTCTGTATCTCATTAGACATTAAAAAGAATTCGTTAACCAAAAGTAGTAGATTTGAATATGGCAACAAATAGATTAGGTAGAATAGGGAAAAGAACTAAAATAGGTACAAGTAGGTGGAAGAATTAAGATTTGGGGTGTAACTTCTATTTCTTTGCTTTATTAATGATTGATATCAATAAATATTATGTTTTAAGTAATATTTTTTTTTATTTTAAACGCACGTTTCCTACAGCCACTGAATTTTCTAAGCAATTTGGTTCCGAATTGTTTTAGTAATAAATTAATACAGAGTTTGAAAATGAAATAATCATACATTTTAGTAGTACGTTTTGTATGTAAGTTTTAGTTATTCCCTCAAGTTTCATATGTAAAAGTATAAAAATTACTATTCGTGTAATATTGTTAACAATATGTTTATATAACTTGCAGAATTTTAATAGCTTTTTTGTTCATTAAGTGTAAACATTTCGTTTGTAAATTAGAAAGCAATTATATTCCCTACGAACAAATTAATTTATATAGGGATTTTATTTTCTTTCTTCAGCAGTGAAATTATATCTAGAGTCATTATACCATAAGATGAGATAATTCCTTGGCTAAGCTTGCTTCTTCAATATATTCAAAAGGTGGCCAATTTTTTCATAAAATTCTTCAGAAGATTTAAATCTGTTGTTTTTGTTTCAAGTAATTCAATTTTCCGGATATTCAATTTTTCATTTCTTCATAAATCACTTTTCATGGACCAGCTCGCAATTACCTAAAAATATATACCTAGGAAGAAGGCAGTATTTACGCTCTCATAAAAGGATCTCTATGACCTTATGTGGCAGCATTAACAAAATTCGTGTCAACTATGTTCAGAATTTGTAGAATGAGGGAACAGTCTGAATTTGCATTGAAATTCTGAGCAGTTCCTCACCGGAATGTCTGGACGTTTTATTTTTGGATCAAAATAGAGTGCCTGTGATCTGTGGCAATACCTGCATTAACGATAGGAAATAAACTATAAAAATCTAATTTTTATTCAATTAGACTTTTAATTTTGTACTTTACTTTGATAGAAGAATGAATGAGAATATTCAGAAAATGAATCCGGAAATAATTAATATTTCTTATCGTGTATTCAATATTCTCAGTGGAATTCTGGGAGAGGGGAACAACATGGCTGAATTTTTCTGCTGAGGAAACCACTTTTTAATTACATTACAAGTTGCAGAATAAAACTGCAATACAGGCGGTGGCAGAGAATTGTTCGTAGTGCATATGTAAATTCTTTCTTTCCCGAAAATTTAGTTTAATAGTTTTTCGAAAGAAATACATACATATTGTTACGAATTTTGTATTTAGTTAGACATTTTCAGTAGAATTATAATTAAAATTGTTATATTTCCCCATGCAATGAGCGCAAGACGAGTTTTAAGAGAAAGCTATGCCCGAAAATTAAACTTACAGGAGCACGTACATTTAACATTTGAATAAAAGTTTGTTTCAGTAATTCATATTTAATTTGAATAAATGTAATTGACTACTATGTTAGATGTAACCGTAATTCTATTCTTTTGCTTTCCAAAATTCTCGAGACGCAGAAATTACAAGAAATTTCTCGCGACTGATTTAAAACTATAAAAACCCAGACAGAGAACATCTCAGCTCACTTGCTGAGTTAGCTGCTGTTATTATGTTTACGACTTCAGCGTGAAATCGGATTAGCTTTCTCTTTGCATGGCGTTGTATTCTAACGTTTTTAGAAGTTTGGCGTACAACTACTGATTATATTGCGGGATATTGTGTACTTGTACGAATATCTCGGAAGAAAATTCCAGCGTCATGTTATATTTCTTTTGATAAGAAGAAATTTTATTACCCTTTTTATCGAAGTTGGGCAGCGAATCTATTATGAACCCGTACGCGCGCAACAACATCTAAATATTATGAAATATATTATAAGAATATATATATATTCAGGTTTGAATAATGTTAACATATTTACAGATTTTATACATTAGCTTTTCGCGACTAAAAGATTTCATCCAAACATACGAAGGAGACGAAAGGCGATCATGCCAAAATTATTACTGAATGTTTGACGGAGTACTAATTCCCTTTGATAAATCAGCACTCTTTCGAGAAATCGGTAATAGTTTACTTATGTTTCTATAAAGTATTGTTCTACGTTTTTTATGTATGTATTATTCCTTTTCCTTTTATTTTATTTTAAAATGTACGTTTTTGAGGCCTACCAGTACAATATTAAACGTCTTTTATGTTTATTATAAGATTTTAATAGTTTTATCACAGTCCTCTCAAGTTTTAGTATTTCTTAACTTCAATGAGCACCAGATTTACGCTTCCCTTCCTGCGAGATAATCATAAATAGAAAATTAACATTAATTTTTAATTAACAATTATTTATATATATACACATGTATAAACATATCTGATAAATATATTTCATACTTAGAAAAAGATAAAAATTCATGGTAAATTAATATTTGCATACTTTTAGTTAAATTTGCAGAAGTAAAATTCTTGGTACAATACATTTCATTGGAAGAAAGCTGTGAATACAAACATCCAAGCCAAATATTTGCCTCTTAATATGTGTAAATTTAATAAACTTTTATTCTGATTTTAACTGTTTAATAAACCTTTGTTCTGGTAAATTACAGTTTAGATGTAGGGAGAGGAACAGTAAATTATACATACCGGCTAATGTCAATGTCGCAATTTTCAGGTTGGTACTTTTCATTACAAGGGACCTGAATGAAAATAGTTCATATAAATGTACTGACAGTTAACAATTAAATGTTTTAATCTTAGACACTTAAACTTTCTTTCAGAATGGTAAGGGAATTAAATTTTAAATATGGCTAACAGGATTTTAATTTGGCTAACAGGATACCATTATAACATATAATATACGTTTAATATTGAATTTAACAAATGTTCTCTATTCGTCTAAAGCTAATATAAATTAAAAATTTAATTAAGAAATTTTAATTGCAGAAATTAAAATAAGATTAATTATTGTTGCGAATTAATTTACAATATCATTTAATTATTTTTATTTTTATATTTATTATTCTTACTTATTATTTATTTTTTTTTTATTTTCACAATTAAAGTTTCTTAATTTTTAATTTATGTTAACTTTATACGAATAGAGAATATTTGTTAAATTCAAATTTCATTCCTTGCAGCAATGGCGCAAGAGAATTATTTAAATTTAATTTAACTTTACTATATTCTTGTGAAACAATATATGTTTAATATATACATTTGCTTGTAAGTTCTTTTCATGCGGTTTAAAAGAAATTATTTCGTAAATTATCATATACAATTAAATTATAAGCCTTACGTCAAGCCAATCAAAACCTGCAGATAATATAAAGAAAACAGGCAAATATTTCAGAGATTTGCAAAATAGATCAAACATTGCTACTGCTGCTATATCTGGCAGAATATATTCCCTATAAGGCAATGAAGAGGAACTAATTTGTGTTAATGAAAAGGATGGAGTCCTTATATACTGAGATATTTGTACCCATATGTAGAAAAGATAGCAGGTGAAGCAAAAAAAGTACATATTAATCATTGTAATTACGCAAATACATATGCAACTCTTATAATGATGCGTGATCCTTACATATCCGTGAAAAGAATAATGCTACAGATTTTAAATGAGGGCTTATTCTTATCACATGAATAATAATTACAGTAAGCTACGAAAGATATTTTCTTAAATCTGAAGAAATAATTTTGATGCCATTATTGTAAGAAATATTTAAATTAAATTAGATCTTTCTTAGTTTTAAACGGAAGTGAACTTAAGTTGATCATTATATACAAAATTAACTGTGTTAGCTGTAAGTTATTTTCTTGAACTGAAGAAGTTTCAAGCCTTTTCTGACAAATTCGAACTGCGAGCTGGGTACTGCAGTGATCACTACGACTGATTAAATAATAGAATTTACAGATTATATTTAAAGAGTGTTTTAATTTACAAAAATATTCCAGATAGAAGAGCATATGGTTAATTGTATAATAAAAGGTGAATTTTAGAATCACTGAGTTTTAAAGAAATTTTCGTCAGGTTATTTCATGAAACGTATATAATTGAACAAGATCTAATGCTTTTCACTAATTTATAATATACTTATAATATATTTATAACAATATTTAAAGTTCTTATTGTTTATACAGCTTGACTAAAATAATTTTCCTATTCAAAGTAAAATTCTGTTGCACACGACATAATATCAAAAACGTGAGATTACCAGGGTGGAATTCTCATAAGCTCTTTCCGTGTAAAGTTAACTAAAGAAGCCTTTCTCTTCTAGAAAAAACTTTTCCGGATTTATTTTAATTATTTAACAGTTAATATTTTGAGGCACTTTCCTATTATTCTCGCTTTCAGGCCATGCTTTCTTGCCAGAATATAAATGAGTTCCCACACGTGTATTCAAATGAGGGATAAAGTAAGTAAAAATTTAAGGTAAGGTTCTGGAAGGTGAATTTAGAGAGAGAGAGAGCGTATTCTGACTGCCTGAAGGCCACGTTCCTAGTGATTAGATTTCTGTCATGTTGAGCGCTTCTAGCCAGTAGGCTTATTTACGCGGACTTTTACGAGTCAGAGCCTGCCTGCGCATTAAGTGACATGTGAAAAGCCGTTAGGCTAACTTAATTCTATTCTATTTTGACTTACTTGTTGCCTTTTGAGTTAAGCCTAAGTGTTAGCTTTTTAAGCACAAGTTGGTGCTCTCTGTGAATATATTGAATTAATAAAGTGTCTTTAATACCCCTTTCTATAAATAATTTCTTACACAGTCTGTTAACGTCTAGTTAGTTTATGCATGCTAGTACATAGACGTTACAACCTGGTAGAAAACAAAAACCAGTTAAAGAAAACAAAGCAAGTTTAACATCGGCTGTGCTACAAAAAGTAACGTTTCTTTTTCAAATGCGACATAAATGAGAAAAATCTGCTGTTTTCAATGGCGTAGACTAAATAGACGTTTATGAATAATAACTTAATTTATATTGAAATTCTTGCACTGTTTTCTAGAGCGTCTTGAAAGATAGGCCTGAGTAGAGTAGACATTGATAGCCTAGTTACTTTACAAAAGTATGCACTTAGACTCTTATAATAACATTTTAAAGAAGTTAATTTCAGCCTGGTGACTGGTGAGAGAGGGCAGGGACACCTAATGTTTAACATAGGTAAACAGGTGTATGTCCCATGCCTTCTCCATTGAGATTTAGCTCCCAGAGACAACATGAAAGCTTTCCTGGGGGTGTTTTATATTTTTAAGCACAAGATCTTGCATAGCTGTTATTTTTTACATTGGTTATAATAGCGCTCTTAGCACAGAGTGGCATTTTCGGGATTCATAGAGAATTATAAAACATAGCATATATACACCATAAAACTATACATATCTTACAAAGTACACATACAATATGGACTTATAATATATATACATACATAATGTGCCTAACACATAACATAAAAATAAACTCACAAAAGAAATTGAATAAGATGTAGTGCTTATGGCTGCTTTGTCATAACGGCACTGTTATTCTATATTGCGCTGCTGTTATTTCATAATTTAAAATTTTTAACAGTTTAAAGAAAAAGGTTCATAAGTTCATTAGTTAATCATATTCAGCTGATGCAAGCATTGTCACTGCTGAGAACGTTCAGTAGCGCTGTTATTCAGTAAATTTCAGTCTGGAAGCCAAACTATCTTTTTATAAGCATAGAAATATCAGTAATAATGTAATAATTTTATTACATTCACAGGCGTTTTTACAATGGCTTCATGAAAAAATCCTAAAAAGTGCAGGGTTTTGCAAATAACTGATATATTTTCAAAATTTACACAACGTAAGTATCATTGTTGGGAACTATTTGCTAAATCTCTGATTGACGTAACAAACTTTTTTTATTTCTCGTAATTTAACAAACAGAAAACGCGGAACGCCTTATTTTAAACAACTGATTATATTTTCCAAACTCTTCCTGTTTTTCTCGTAATTGTCTTGAAACAAAGAGGATAACATGCATACGTTTTGGCTATGTCCCTTTACAACACCTAAAAAATCTTGTTTTAAATATTGTTACAAAAAAGATATACTATTTTTCTTAAAACCAGAAGGATACCATCATCCCTTTAATACGCTGCGTCTTCACTAAGTTGACAAATCCTTGCATTTTTGGGGGTTCCATCTTGTTCTCACACCTAATATTTCTTACCTTGAAGATTTCGTTTTAGTGCATTTTCATCGCAATTGCAGGCACGACCTGGGTGAAATAAACATATTTATTTTTAACCAAAATGCGATGAAATATAAATGCTTTAATTTAATTGAAACAAAAATGAACCTGTAGGATAGAATAGTAAATATGAGGATATGAACGGCAAAAAAACCTAAGGAAAGAGTTTGAAATTTCTAAAAATTCATGATTAAATATTTTTAAAATAATTTTAAATATTTCCCAGAATATGAAAACAATACGCAGCTGATTAAGAACACAAAATATATTTAATTTTGTTTCTTAAAATTCAAACTGCTTAATTTTATCCCGATTCGTCTTTAAATCAGCTTTAATACTAGAAAGGTTACGTAGCATAAAGTATTTGTTCGTTTCGTCCGAACACACTTAAAAATTTACCTAAGCAAGCATGTGTATTGATTCCTTCTGATGTAAACAACTAAAACTGACACAGCTTTAATGAATGATTTGTAAATGCTGCTAAACGTGAACATATCAGTCGCTGTGATTATACTTGAGACGTTTCTTATATACCTTGAAAGATTTGATAGTTATAGATACTTATGTGAAGCAGGAAAATGCAATCAAAGACAACTTTTTACTCTGTTTTCAAAGCAAAAAAACGAAAACTAATGATAAATCCAAATATACTGGTTATCATAAATTAAGGAAAAATCACAAAAATAGCGATAACTCCCTCCAAAATTAGACAAACCGTGTAAAATTTGAATATGTTGCCAAGTAAGAGTAGTTGAATAAAACTGCAATATGCAAATTAGTGCCGCTGCACTCGGAATAAGTCATCTGCGAGGAGAATAAAAGTCCATGTTTGAGTGCAAGCCCACATATTTCACTGTGATAATGACATCAGAAATCTGAGATAGCCAATTCGTAACAATGACCTCCAAGCATCATTTGCCTGCAGAACTACGATGGAGAGACATTGGGAGACTAGAGGCAGGATAAAGTCAAACAGAAGTAGCCAGATGGCTGAGTGTGAGTCCTTCTGTGGTTCTTCTTTTCTTTCGAAACAAGGTGATAATATTTCCTATAAAACTCTTAATTAAAAAATACTGGAAAACATTGTACAAAATATTAGCATTTTGTGATATCAACAAGAACATCAGTTTTCCTAAATTCGAACATGCTAATTAAGTATGAAAAAAAAAATTCATTAGTGAACATGATCACTTCAAACAGCAGTACAGGTATGTTAGTAATATCTCATACTGTTTATGATGTTGCCAATGAGCTGCATAGGTAGCAATAAGACAATTTAGGGCTTGTGGAGGGGTTGGAGGCCAGCAACACGCCTCTCGACAACATGGCTCATACAGAGCTCAATGACATTAAGGTAGAGAGAGTTTTCTGACCATTCCATTTGACTATATTTTCTTCTTCAAAAAACTGAACGATATTTCAGTTTCTTGTGGGCGGGGATTCTCTGTTTGGAAAAATGAAGGTATCACCTACTGAAGCAATATACGAGCGAACAAATCGAATGCATTTTGTTGCATTTGTACCTCTGAGCATTGGAAGTTCCATGTGGCAGCAGATACAGGTCTGCGCGCCCACCTTAACACACTCCTCTTCATATAAGAATGCTACCTCCTTTATAAGTATCTCTTTCTCTTTTGTTTTAACGGAAGATATCGGACGTTTGCTTCTCTTCATATCTAAGCATATAGTGAATTCCTCTGTAAAACAGAGCAGGATTTATCAGTGAACAGAACAGATCCCCAAGGATGTTCAGTCCAGTTTACACGAACTAGGTGCCCAATTTAAATGCGTCCTGCACTGTCCGGAGGCAAGCAGGGTACACAAAACTAATCTCCTAACATGTATATATCTTTCAGGAAATCATATGCATACTTTCGTGGTTGATACTGCCCTTCCTGTAGCAGAACTAACCGCCGATGTAAACTGATTTGCTAAGTTCGTTGTCAATGGGCATGCAAACAAATTAATTTTTTGGCACACATCTCTCTGAATAACACTTAATGAAGAGTAAAATGAAAACTTATCATTCTAATTAAAATTAATCATAATTAAACCACATTTTAATGCGATAAAGAGTAAAAAAGGGACAATTAATTTTACTCTTTCTCATATCTTACAACAAAATTCCCATTCTCTAGAAACGCATGTTTTCTAAGTGTATGTTCTCTCCTTTTCCTAGAGATTCCCTAACAATGGTCTCCTTT